CGTGGCCCCGCGGCGGCAGTAAGTGGGGTGCAGCGGGCAGGCAGCGCGGCCCCGACCCCTCGCAGCCCCTGCGGGGTCCCGGCCGGGGACAAGGACAGGCCACTGCCTCGCGCGGTGGCCACCACGTGTGGCCGCGCTTCCGACGGCGAGGGCGGCATCTCTGTCTTGTACGTAGAGTGTTTTTGCCGGAGGATTTCCGGATCTATACCGATGGCCGGGGGGGGCTGGCAAAATCCGAACTGGCGCATATCAAGGTAATAATCCCGCCCCGGGTGCTGTACTGAGGTCAGAGCGGCTGTGGCAGCGCTGCAGGAGCAACGCGCAGAGGAGATTCCCCCTGCGGCAGAGCTCTGCAGAGCCCCGCTCTCCCCCGGGACGGTGCCGGCAGGAACGTTCTCAAGGCACCAAACCCATCCCCTGCGACCACGGGTACCCAAGCTCTGTTAGAACGTCAATGGGGTTGGTACCGCATGGCTGGAGGGAGGTGGGCAGTGGGGTTTGGCAGAGGGGCAGGGGTAGGGCCTGTCCTGCAGCGTGTGGCCATGGGCTGTGGGGGGCTGTGGCTGCCACCAGGCGCGTGGCCGTGTCACCCAGCCACGCTGAGGGCACGCGTCGGCTCGGACCCCGCGGCAGCAAGGGCTGACACGGGGGCATAACGGGTTCCCGAGGACGGCGGGGAGCTGAGGATAGGACTGGGTGTCCGTGCAGGGGTCTGTTCCCAGGAGAAGCCGCAGTGCTGTGCTCCCCACACGCCTTGTGTGCCCGTCCTCTGCAGGGACAGGGACCGCAGCGCAGGCGGTGGCAAGGTCTGGTGCCTTGCACGCTGCAGCGCTCCCCAGCTCTCTGGGGAGAAGGCACCGAGCTGTTCTAGGGCTTTACTCCTTCCAGCGCGACTGCTTCTACGAAGGCTATGTCGAGGGTTTCCCCGTTTCGCTCGTGGTGCTTAGCGCCTGCTCCGGCCTGAGGTAAAGCCTTTGCGCGGGGGACAGGCGTCAGCGCGAGCGCCAGGCGGTGGTGGTGGTGTCCCAAGGAGGCAGAGGAGCCATTCCTGCCGCTCTGCACCTTTGCTTTCCAGCGGGATCCTGCAGCTCGCGAACACCAGCTATGGGATCAAGCCTCTGGAGGCTGCAGCCGGGTATCAGCATCTCGTGTACCCGATGGAGAATGAAAACGCAGAGGCTCGGCTGTTCGTAGAAAACAGCTCTCTTGCCTGGGCTGGGGAGGTGTCACGGCAGCTGGAGGACACGACAGCGGTGAGTACAGCACCTCCCAGCCGGTCGGTCTTCGGCCGGACAGTAGCCATAGGCATGGGAAATTCGTGGCTGAAGGTCTCCTTTGCAGAGCTGCTCTAAACCGCAGAAGCTCTGCTCTGCTGCAGGCGTGGGGTGTTTGTGTTGTTTAGTTTGTTTTGTTCTTTGATTTTCCTAAAGATTAAGCAAGCTGTCACTACATCCCCTCGGTATCTGGAAACGCACGTGGTTGTGGACAAGGCTCTGGTAAGTCTTTGCATCCCCTCTGCTGTAAATCATCGTCTCCAGAAAAATCTTGTGCGTGCAGCAGGTCCGTCACTACACAAGGACACCGAGGGCAGTTTGCACCAGGCTTGAGAGTCCCTGCGCGATGGGAACTCCTGCACGGACAAGAGTTTGCTGTGGCAGGGGCCGCAGCCGGCGCTCTCGGGGAGGTTGCCTTGCGCGCTGCCCGGACGCGCCCTTGTCTTTGTGTCCTTTCAGTACGACCATATGGGAGCAGACAAGCACGCTGTGACGGCCAGGGTCGTGCAGCTTTTCAGCTACATGAACGGCGTAAGTTGCTTTTGGTCGCCCGCGGGAGATGTGTGGTGGCCATGGATAAGGGCCCGTAGGTAAAGCACGCGGAGCAGCGGGGCTCTGTGGGTCAGCCGCGGTGTTTGTCTGCCTCCAGATGTTTGCTCGCCTCAATCTGACAATTGTACTCTCTTCTCTGGAGTTTTGGACGGAAAAGAACAAAATCCCCACCACGGGAGATGCCGAGGAGCTGCTGCAGAGATTTTTGCAGTGGAAAAATGTGCATCGTGTGTTGCGGCTGCAGGACATAATGTTCCTGTTTGTGTAAGAGGAGGAAGGCTGTGTTAGTGCAGAAGCAAAAGGAGGAGGAAGGGGCCGTTAAATCGTGTATCAGACTGAGTCTGGTGTGTTCCCCAGTTACAGGGAGCAGTCCCGTTACGTGGGGGCATCTTCTGCGAGGAAGCTGTGTCTCAGGAACCATGCTGGAGGGGTTGCCTTGGTACGGTACCACTGAGCCGTCCGTCCGTCCCCATAACCCCCATGCCTGTGGGTAAGGTGGTGAGCGGTGCCTCAGGAGCTAAGCCCCACGCGCAGCCCGAGGCCGAGCGGGAGCAGAGCCCCACCAGCCCTGCAGCAGAGGTGCTGGGGGGTGCAGACCGGGTGCCCCCCGGGATGTGGGTGCAGGACCCCTCACGCCCAGCATCCCG